ATCGTCCATCTCAGTTTCTCAGTGTAATAATTGTTTCTTCTATTGTTATTTTTGTAATTTTTAAAAATTGTCTTCTCATCATATCGGCATATTTCATTACACTTACATTATTTTAAAATAAAACAACTTCCCCTAGTCCCCTAAAGCTCTACCCCTTTCATTTCTACTACCTCTACTCCAGACCTTAATCTCTCCTTTAGGTGAGTTCATAATACCAGACAGGTAAATGCCGCGTGTTGTTTTAACTAATTGTAGGGGAACTGGGTTGTAGGGGAAATGGGATGTAGGGGTTTTGGGAGATAACCACCCTTAATTATGGGCAATTAAATTCTTGAAAAATATATCTGTCGTATGTAAACATTACAGGCTGTCAGCATAAACCATAAAATTTATCTTTCAATTCTGTTTTTTTTTCACCAAAATAATATTCTAATAAGAGCCCCCTATTTCTATTTTTGAGAGCGCCCTGGGCGCTTATTACGTCGGATACGGTTATCTAAGAGAGATCGACTGCCATACTACGGTTGTTGAAATCTCATTTGCATCACAATTCCGCACAATCAGATTCAGCTTTACGGAATAAAGATTTCTCCGGCAATTAATCAATCGCTTCGTTTAAGAAGCATCTGTAAGCCAGCATCTCCAAGAGACGGAACTGTTTCATACATGTTACATGATATTGTTTGAAAGTCATATATGATGATGACCTAATCGCTTGAATAATTGTACATTGTATATGTCCGTAACATATATTATAAGTGAATGAGTTGTGTTTCCTGCCGCTTCGGACATTATTTCGTCGGATAATTTTTGTTTGTTTGTTTGTTGTTTAACGCCGCACCCAGCAATATTTCGGCTACATGACGGCGGTCAGTAAATAATCGGGTCTGGACCCGACAATCCAGTGATGGATATCATGAGCATCGATTTACGCAACTGGGACACGATGACATGCATAAACCAAATCAGGGAGCCTGACCACCCGATCCCGTTACTCGCCTCATACGACAAGCATAGTCGCCTCTTATGGGTCGCTGGAGACAGATTCTACCCCGGATTTTCACGGGTTGCATTACGCCGTTTCATCTTCATATAGGAGGAACGTGAGTGAGTGAGTGAGTGAGTGAGTGAGTGAGTATGGTTTCACGCCGCTTTTTGGTAATATCACGGCGGGGGACACCGGAAATCTGCTTCACACACTGTACCCATGTCGGGAATCGAACCCGGGTCTACGGCGTGAAGAGCGAACGCTTTAACCACAAGGCTAAATCGATCGGAGTACCGTTATTCAAAACAACCTTAGTCTATAGTCTATGTTAAGGCATGGAATATTAAGATCATCTTAGTCCTAAGATCGGCACCCAGGTGGCCACACTCGTGACTTGGCTGATTACGGGTCATCGTGCCTTGATGTCGTGGATCGTTGCGCATGTTCTCGCTTGATTGATTTGTATAGCCCCGACTCGGATATTTACAGGCTTTTGTGACAAAGTTGGAATATTGTTGACTGTGGTTTTAAACAACATTCACTCACTCACACTTGCAACCAGAAAGGATTAGAATAACACTATTACTCTTTATTGCTATCATCAACCATTTAATATTGCTTTACTTAGGGGGCACGGGTGGCCCAGTCGTCTAAGGCGCCGCGATTCGCTGTGCAGAGTTGCGTCCCTTGGGCACGCCTGAAACCTATGATTGTGGGTTCGAATCCCGGTTCGCCCCAATTATGTTTCTAGGTTTGTCAGCACCATACCCGTGCTCGTGGGTTTCACCGAAGTGATAAACGTCTGAGACCTGCATCACTTCGGGCTTTCCTCCCACATCAAGCTGACAAGCCGTGATATAACTGGAATACTGTTAGAAGCGGCGTTAAACCCAACTCACTCACTTTACTTACTGCCTTTGAAAGGCTGTCGATTCATCAATCACGCTATTCAAAGGAAAGCGATCATGAAACTTTGAGAGTGAGTGAGTGAGTATGGTTTTACGCCGCTTTTAGCAATATTCAAGCAATATCACGGCGGGGAACACTAGAAATGGGCTTTACACATTGTACCCAGGTCGGGAATCGAGCGAATGCTCTAACCACTAGGCTACCCGCCCGCCCCTTTAAGAATGAAACTTCATTAAAACATATGTGTCCGGATTAGTGGGTTTCTGATTTATTGTCAGCAACGGCGTATCGTGCTTTGTGGGTGTCTATTTCACATCGCTCGCGTTTAAAAGTTAGGTTTTATAGTCGCTATAGCATCAGTAAGAAAAACAACACTAAAACAAGATCTCGTGACCTCGCTCCCCAACATCCCATAAAGCCTCACACTCATTCGTTGTTTCGAGTTCTATCAAACTACTCAATTCTTTTCGTAGCTACGTGTATAAGTAATAATGACGTCTTATAGTTTTTAGCAACAATACAATAACTGCTGGACGGGTGCTAAATGGAATATTACCATAATTGTTTCGAAAATATAATAATGATTATCCGTGAGATGAGTATTCAAAGTAATGAGCTCGTGATTAAACAGAGCCGTACATCAGCGGTTAATATTTGGATAAAAAAATATATCTGGGTATGTAACTAAGCCGTGCAAGAAATGAACTGTTTTTTATCGGCACGATGAACACGACTCACGTACACCATGTGTTCATATGTACATAATGACATTGAAATGATATGTAAAAAAACAAAAAAATATGATGGTATAGACACACACGTACAAGACAATTACCGTATTCGGCGTAATAAGCGCCCATGATGCTCTAAAATTAGAAATAGCGGGCTCTTATTGGATTATATTATTCTGGTAAAGAAAAAACAGTTGAAAGATCGTAAATTTCGTGGTTTATGCTGACAGCCTGAAATGTTTATATACGACAGATATATTTTTCCAGAATTTAATTTCCCATAATTAGGGGTGCATATAACACACGAGTGCGTATTATACGCGAATAAATAAGTCTTGTTTACATTGATCAATCGGAAGGGGTGCTAATTTTAGGATTGTTCACTGGCCAATATATTAGCAAATATCTCCGTGGGCGCTTATTAGAGGGAATACGGTAAGCAATAATAAATAAATTATAAATTGATAAATAATAAGTTATGCAATAATAAATGATAAAATGTAAACTTTTAAAACTTAGAATTTGTAATACGTTCACACACTGTGCCATCCCTGACTGCCCGGCAGATTTATTCGTAGTGACCCACAATGGCGTTGCACGGTCAGCCACACAGATACGGATGGGTCAGTGAATGTCTATCCATGAAGAAACTACAATCAAAACGCCTCCCCCATACCGCCCCACCCTATCTACCCCACCCCCTAATTATATGTACTTTTACGATCATCATCCATCCTGTCACACTATAAGTTGGCCGCCGCCGGATTTATTCAGAGAAATTTGATAATTTTCATCAAACTTAGACAAAGGGTGCAAAAGTGATGGTAAATATATTTTGTCACCGCCTGTAAAATCACCGAATCAATCATCACCACAGATGCTACAAAACGGAGTGCATAGTGGTATTTTTATGATAAAACGCCCCCGCTATTAGTATCGAGGGACTTAAAGTGGCACTGATGAAATATTTACAACTGGCAGTTATAACACGTGGTAGCGAGATTTTAATGCCAAAACGGTCATATTCAATAATGGCGAGTGTTTGGGATCTCACCTCTGTGACTGCTGGAGTTGTGTTGGTGTTGTGTTGAGGTTGTGTTGAGGTTGCCATCATGTCAACCATTGTTTTATAATCCACAGCGTCATGAATAAGATATTATGTGAACTATTTTATTCCGGGTGTCAACTAATAACTGCTTTTCCCCCTTTACAAACAAATTGTGGGTAAGTGTACTTTTCATTTTGGAACATGATATGCTCAGTTTTCACTGACGCATAAGGTTTGTGGTAACAGCTCTTTGCAAGTATTTTATTGAAACAATACTATAAATGATTATTGATTATATACTCTAGGAGGGTGTTTCAAGCTGACGCGCCGTGTGTACATATTTTCTTATTGGAATCTTTCACACGATAGAACTTCGTTAAAAATATAAAATAATCTTATTGGAAAACATGTATTATTCACAGGCAACGTGACTTTAATTATCAATTGGCACTATTTTCAAGAGCTTGGTGGCAGTTTTGGCCCAAGGGGAACCCTTAAGACGATTGTGAACACTCAACCCTGAGTGTTTATGACAGTTAGCTGGTAATACACCCACAAGGAGTAATTCCAATTAAATAACAGATTTATTTTCTTTTATTCCCAACCATGATGAAATGGCCGACAATGATCATCCCAGCTATCCCCGGGCGATTATGCGGATGCCGGACCAAGGGGGTTCCTGCGTCCAATTCGACAACAAATTAGGCATCGTTATAATTCCTCTGCGCCCTCTCTCATGCTTACAATGTTCGGTCATAAAACTCCATTAGTTTTCTCCCGGTGAGTATCTTTGGACTGCCAGCTGAAACTGACAACCTATTAACCGTTATCCACGGTTCCATCGCCGACGAGGGACACACGAGTCTAAACGGCACTGTCAATTGAACAGGGAATAGTCGCCGTGTTGTCGCGATCCCGCTATAAATCTTAGTCTCTCACTGTTTACTAAATTCGTTGATGTGCTAAACCAAGGTGTGTACTTTTCGGAGTTATGCATTCAGCGTCACAGATATTTGAATTTTATGACTGAATTACTTGTCGCTCGCATTTGTTCGCGCAAGTGCCTATCGCCGGTATCGACTCCGAACGAGCTCTCCGAACGAGTGTGGGTTGGGTTAAGAATGGTCTCCGCATCTGATTAAAGGAAATGGCGTGAAAAACAGGCAGGGCTAGAGCCGAGTCCCGGTCGATTAAAGGGGTTATATGGACGGGTAGAAGGGTGGCCCCCTGGCCTATGCATTGTGTGTCGGCCGCGGAGCGATCGCAAGTCGCATATGAATAGAAGAGAAGGGGCGGCGATAGTTGAATCAATTGGCCAATCAGCGTGCGCTATTTTGTCAATATGCCGCATATAAACATGCGACTCGCGTGTACCCACTTTCACACACTGGTTCATGACTAGCTCTGTCAAAGTTTATACACATGGAATCGACAGGGTATTTTCAAACCAGTAAAGACTGAAGTGTACTGGATAGAGTCAGATAACCCGTCGTTTGACCCGACACCCAGTGCACAATCGTCAGCAGGAAGCGGACAGCCTGTGACATTGAACAATACCCGGACTGGATTGATAGTGGGAAATACTGGGACACTATGTTTCCGAATGTTTTATCGCCATCACCTCTCTACCAAAGTGTATTTCGAGCACCGGCGTTACTACATCCGAACCCATCGGTCGCCACCTCGTCAGCGTCGTTCCTCGTCGAGAACTTGCTGAGGGAGCGCTCTTCCGGGTTTCTGGCCCGACCCACCCCGACCACACCCCCGGTGTCTGTGGGGTCAGGATTCGTTCATGTCACAAGGGACCAGGACCCCATCCCTACCTCCTCATCCTCGGGAACCACACCTTACCTCAAATTCGGTGTCAGTGCCATTCTTGGGACAGATTCATCACAACAAAAGCCGATCTCAAATTCCGGTAATTATTCAACCTGATATCATACGTCATTTACACTTGAGTTTAATTGATTATTATTTGATGTAACATTCGTCTGGTTTATTCGACATGTCATTTATTTTATTTATATTGGTGAAACAAGGCCGTAGTTAACTTTAAAATATTTGTACAAGTATCAATTGTCCCCAACTTGATTCAAATAAAACTGTTTTTATAAAAAATCTAGGGGGGCAACTGCCCTCCCTGCCCCCCCGGCTGGCTACGGCACATGCGAAAGGATAACGCAGATTATTATTAAATAGAACTCAAAATCCAAACTCGTCAGGCTTATGGAATTCAACTGTTTTTCAATTATTTTGCTAATTGGCAATAGATACCGTGAGAGCGTGTAAATGCTGTTTTAAAATCTTAATGGCTTGTTGATACAAAAAGTGTAGTCTATGGAACAGATAAATACGACGCAACTAATAATGAGATATGGTACAGCAAAATGATCTTTAATATCATCCAATCTATAGTACATATCATGACGTCGACAATCTTTAAGCATGAGAATCATGCGAGTGATACATTAAATCACGCGAGTCACGTCAAAACTATTATCATAACTGGGCATTGTCATATAAACAATAAAGGTATCGTATCATGTCACGTTATTATGAATAATATTTAGTGAGTAAATATAGCAAACACGAATAGCAGTTTAAAAACTGTTAAATATAACCAGTTGAACATAGTCTTAACTCTGTTTTTAAACCCCTTACGTTTCGCTTACAGATTTCAAGTGGATAAGAATTTGTTTTGTTAGATAACTCCCTGAAAAGAAAGTTGGTTTATTTCTTTTACAATATCATTTCATATTTCAATAAATGAATTTTTATACGGCGATTCCCCATAATGAAATATATTAAACAATCAAGTAAATTCGAGAACTGTGAAACATAACTATTAATCTATATTTATTTGACGGATTTATGATGTCCCTTCAATTTTATACGTGCGTACCTGCTTTAAATTCTGTTACAGGATAAACAATTTCAAGTTGATTAAAAGAAACGTGCACAAAAACATAGACAAAATGCATTTGATTTTTAAGTGATATTTTAACTGGGCGCACGTGTCATATATATTCTGTATTGCAATTTAATTCATGTCTGAGTTCTATTTGATATACCGTTAGTTAGTGGTGCGTTTGCAATAGATTTTAATCTGGCTATCAGGTGAGTCGATACAGTTTAGTGCTAAACATATGCATTTTCATGTATATTGTAACGGTGTTATCAATGCCTGGCGTTTTTTTATGGTGGAAGGGCCACACTTGCAATTGGCATTGCACAACTAATCATACACATAACAGTATATCATTCAGACTGGATCCAATTTTTTTATCTGCCAATTGTGTGCAATAGATTTTAATGACGTTCGGTCTGTGGTAAACAATGCTGTTATTGTGTGGTAGACATATATGCTACAATCATGGAGGCTAACGGTAAATATATCTCAATGAACATAGCCAGGCAGGATGCATCAGCTGCTGATATATTGATGTGATATATGATTAGCTATACTCAGAAAAGTACTCAATGTCCTTGGAAGAAATAATGATATTTGTTTTTAAATTATGAATTCTCAAAATGTATAGTTGAGACAAATGAAACAGCAAAATCCATACGTCGTCCAGATGTACGTCAAATTGAATATCCTACTTCCAATAAACGACATATGCGTTTTTTTCTCATTGATTATTGAAGTTTATCATACTAATATGTAGCTTGATGTTTGGTTTAATTCGTTAAGAACTTTACTAGAATCCAGTTATATCCGACATCACGAATAGCTATAAACGACCCGTGGAGACTCGGGCTAGAATAGGTCTTCAGCAACCCATGCTTGCCGTAAAAGGCGATTATTCTTATCGTAAGAGGAGACTAACGGGATCGGGTGGGCAGGCTCTCTGACTTGGTTGATGCATGTCATCGTATCCCAATTGCGTGGATCGATGCTCATGGTGTAAGTCACTGGATTGTCTGGTCCAGACTCGATTATTTACAGACCGCCGTCATATAGCTGGAATATTGCTGAGTGCGGCGTTAAACAACATACAAACAATCAAACAAAGAAACATAATAGCTATACAAAAACATCTACACCCAAAACGCCAATATGCCTAGGGTACAGGGTCGTTGCGCAACCACATCTGCAACAAGCACAGCCACTAGTATTAATATATTCTGTTTATAGTGCTTACATATCTGTTAATTCTTGTACCTATGTATAAATAAGTGGTTATTGTTAGCGTTATTGGGAATTCGTGTTGATTTCTCCAAAAACATCTTGTTCATTAAAATTTGTGTTTTTCAGTGACGCACATCGGAAGTGCAGGCGGAGCGTTCACAAGCTTTGCCCCCACGCTGCACCCCCTGATCACCACCCACTGTCACAAGGCCTGTGGCCTGTCCCCCCAGGGGCTGTCGTGTCCCTCCTGTAGTCCCAGACACGGGTCCATATACGATACCCAGATCACGGGCATGCTCAGACCTCCATATCTCTCAGGTAAGCTTCATCCTCGACTGTGCATCCTTCGCCCACCCTTCCTCGTCCCTAACCGCGACCCCAGTGACACTCGCGATCATGCGCCTTTCCCACCCACGCGCTCTGTTATTGAGCCTTAGAAGTTATAAAGCCATTGCACTTTTAGTGACTTGGCAATTATTGTGGCTGTAGGATATGTGTATTATCAGTATGAGAACTTTAATTTAATGATACTTCTGTGAGGCAGGTGCCTGTATATTTGGGGACATATCTCTGTTTTAGGAGTCACTTTCCAGAGAAATATGACTCGATCATGGTGGCATACAGCTTCATACAACAGAATACAATTTTTAAATCGAGACACACACATTAAGAAGCGTTTTCTTGTCAATGTCATATTTCCATCGTGATATAACGTTTTAACGTGTCCAAATCGTCATAGGTTAATATATATATATATATATATATATATATATATATATATATATATATATCGTTTCCGAATGTCTTCTCATTACAAAACCTGGTTTCTCCGGACGATGTCATTGGGAAAGGTACTGTCCGCATTAACGGGGTTTTCTTGTCAATATTTAATGGATCTAATCAATGTCATACCTGTTCGTTGTTCGGGATAATATCTTCCATGTCCAGGACAATGAAGCATGACTATGTGTGAAATGACACGTTGCTATCATAATAGATCTAATATCATCTGCTGTTTTCCAAGATGTATCTATACTTTATTTAACCCTTCTGAATAAGTTGCATTTGAAAATTCATGAAACATCGTTTATGTTGATGCTATCACGGTTGTTCAGATGACGAACTGTTATGTCAAGCCACTCCTGTTACCTGTAATTACGGGAATGCATCTGTTTACAAAGGGGTGAAACAATTACAAAGGTAGGGGATTTTGCATCACAGACAAGTATAACAGGGTCATTATCCAGTTTAGAAATGATTAAAACTATTTCATACTTTATCGAATTTCGAGATCCAGACATGATATACAAACTTTTCATAAATTCTGAAGCATTCATCATGAACAATCATAATGAACAAAGTTAATTAAAAACATATGCATACAGTGTACCCAAGACATTAATAATTCCTGTAACACATGTTGCCGCTATATATCAATCTACCTAGATACTGTCGTTCAAATGATACATTAAAGGGTGATATTATACCATCTAATAGCTAATATTATACTCATTAACACAGTAATTGATAATCGTACGACTAGTCGACCTAAGTAGAAACTAAATAAAATCATTATTTATATAAGGCGGGGTTTTATTGTAGAATAATGCAATAATACATTAATTTGTGTTCGACGTTTGATTTATAAAACAAGTGAAAAACGTGGTTATGATGATGTAAGAGATGCCGGGTTCAACCAAATAGGCGTGTCAAATACATCTGAGTATATATTGGGCGCATGAATATGCTAAATACCCACAATGTGTTAAATATATTAGTCTAATGAATAGCAAAATTATTCGCAAATATACAAATAAATCATTTTAATGTAAACAAAAAGTTATGTATCTATGGGTAATATATGTAAAACAATCATATAACGGCGTTAGTGTGTGTTCAGCAATGGAGAAATCTTGTAGAGCGCTGTGTACTCGTTACAGCAACGAACAAACAACTCATTGTTAAAGGGTCATGTCGGGTCACGTGACTTGTCCGATAATTTGATGAATTAATCCCTCTCTTCAAAGTCTAAAAGACGTTTCCGCTCATCATCATGTGAGGATATTTAAAGTGTTTAATCTTCGGTCATTAAACAAATAAAGTTAGCAGCTTGTAAAGGCTATGTATGATTATGATTGATGTGATCAAACATCAGTTCGCTTGCTTATGCTTGTGCTGACATTGACGACGCGAAATGTACAAGAAAAGTGAACGTCGGCTGTAATGTGATCCTGTCTAATGAAAGGTGAAATTGACATTACGCGAAATATGAATAGATTGACGGTCACATCGAAAGACGAGATGTGTTTTCGACGAGTGTGGTCCCGTCGGTAGAAACTTCTATCAACGAATCCAGTGATAAAAAATGCGAAATATATTTTAAGAAGAGTTAAGTAAAATCCTTAAACGTTTTTAACCAAGTCTCGCCCTGGACCGCACCCAGACTTAATTTAAAAAACCCAACATGTTTGGGTTTTTGATATTGAAAATCAAATCGGTAATATTTAGGAATATGGAGGCGCTCGTTAAGGGATAAACTTTTATTGTTTCTGACCGTTTGGTATCTGACGGTGAGGACAAAAATAGTTAGTTAGCCATAGATGATTTCTGTATATATCGTTTTTTGACCCATAATTGTTTGTCTCATACATTCGATACGTTGTCTAGTACGCTAAAGCTCAGAGGTAACTGGGTGTGCTGTAAGACACGCTCCTGTTCAGCTTTTGTAAAAGGTCCCTTGTAAAAGACCCCGAATACAAATCGCTTCTAAAAACACGCTCTTAAAGTTGTTGTTTTAGTTATAGTTTTAACACGAACTGGACCGAACACCCCATCTAAACTAAAAACCCTTTTCATCTTCTCAAATACCCCATTAAAACCTGATACCGTTTCCGAACTGATCTACTTTTAATGAAGCAAGCGGAGTCAGCAGTAAATCTGTCCCCTATCCCCTCGTAGTCAGGAAAGGGGAGGGTGCTTCTTAACTTCGCTCCCTCTCCGAACATCCAATATGGCTTCCGTCACACAAAAACCAATTAAAACTTATTTTATACTCCCTCCTACCAGGCTATGATATCCGTTTAAATTTCTCTTTATTGTACCTTGAGTCGAATAATTTCATTTGCCTTGTATAGCTGGAGTTTTATAGCCCAGAGTATCAAAAAGGACTTTTTCGGCCTATCCGGTCACAAATTCAGGGCCAATGTCAAGCTAAACCCGATAGGTGCTAATTTTACATCACTTCAGTTTTGGTCGTGAAATAAAGACTACTTTGATATAAGATTTCACACAAAAGAGGCTATTAACGGGTAGCGAGGATACAGGTTTTCTCAGGTAATTATTTTCTTCCAATTACCACAGCAGTCGTGAGAAAGGTAGATTTTGAGACACCGAAGTTTCAACTAGAATGACATATTTGATTGACTGTGAGTACGCATTTGTTTGGGATGAAGCGGTATTCGTGTATGTGGAAAATATCAATACCATTTTTAATCCTTGGCATAACTTTTCTGTTTAATGTTTCGTTAAATATCCATAACTTAAAAAAATTCAGGTTGCTATTAATATCCATGTTGGAGATTTAAAATTTGTTTTGAAAGGAAGTGACTTAATAATCTTGAGTGTGTGAGGATAAGATGCCAATATCATTATACAAATAGGGTAAAATATAGGCCATAGAAAGTTAATCGGGTTGTCCCGTTAGGTTTCTGCTGCGTTAAAACAAATGTAGCGTGAAGTTGGCCGGAACAGGTATGTCATATCAGATCCGAGCTGGTGTCTGATTTCAGAAAAGCATAAATGAATTAGAATATAAATGATTAATAAAATTAGTCTTTGGTCCATTTCCAGGCCATTTATATGCATTATGCGGCCCGAGACGCCATAACGGGGTGATGTTGAACCCCTAATTAGACACCGGTCTGCGGAACAAAGGTCTTCACCCTTCCAATCATATTCAACCCCGATTGATTACAAACCAAAGCCTAACGGAATACCTAATTTTTCTATAAATACAGCAAATTAAACTCTGGTTAATAGTAAAGCGATTACGGTTAAACGGCGCGTTGGTTTTAACTGTGAGGTGTAATTGGCAACCAAGATGCTTGACGCAAGGTGTTGCTGATTGCTTTTGACTAAATTTCAATCAGTTCAATCAAATCGTGTAGATATAAATTAAATATTCAGATTCATCTCCCCCCTGCTGTTGTTGATGTTTTAACCACCAGTGAACTTTGTTGGACATTTGAAACTCGAGCAGCTACATCGAGCACCTGTTCGAGGTGTATGTATCGTTGAGCGGCTGTGATGGACAGATTGACAACCACGTCTGTCACGGGTGTTTCGAAACAATGTGTTATATTTGATGATCAGTGTTAATCATGTGAATGATATGCAAGTACACAATTATACAAAAACAAACACTACCGTCTTAACAGAAATGGTAGAAAGATAATAAAGACACTGAAAATTATATGAATGGACCAATGAATCTCAGTGATGACACCAGGTATTCGTAAAAGCACCAGTGCTGTTAAGTATGATAAATTTCATAATAATAATAATAACAACACAGAATAATAATGTTGATGGCGATGCTGAAAGTATTTGTTATATCAAAGCAGCAGCAACAATAATGCTAAAATGATGATGATGATGATGATGATGATGATGATGTTGCTGTTGCTGGTTTTAATGATAATAACAATATCAAGCGTTATGATATATAATGCAATCTCCAAAAGATCAAAGGGTCAGACAATACTTTATCCTGCGATCAAGTACACTTTTATGACTTACGTCATAACTGACTGACGCAAGCGTCCTCGTGCTTTGACTAAAATAGTTCAGGGCCAAGCTTTACTTTTTCACTCTACACATGAAACAAATAGAACAAAGATCATTTCAAAAGCAACATATATGTTTGTTAAACATTAAATAGACTGATATTATCTATAACAACGTTACGGTAACGTCTCCTATTGCAAAATTTAATTATTAACTTATTAATCACTATAAAAATATTTCACTTATATTTCTTTCTTCAAATTTAAATGAAAGACGGTAACATGACTTGGACACACCACTTTCATATGATACCAACCAACTTTAGAATAAAACAAACATTATTTTCCCTACATTTTTCCAGTAAAGAATCTGAAAGATTAACTATATTTAAACAACGACGACCAATCCATTTATTATTATTATTATTATTATTATTATTATTATTATCGTCGTCGTCGTCGTCATCATCATCACCATCATCATCATCATTATCATTATCATTATATTATTATTATTATTATTATTATTATTATTATTATTATTATTATCCTGACTGTGGCTCTCTATCTCCACAGCCCCACACCTACTGCCCATGTCGCCACACGCTCTGACGTTCCTGACCAACATCCGAGGAAAGCCCCGGAGGGGGATGCTGAGGAGAGCCGTGTTCTCAGACGCCCAGAGGAAGGGGCTGGAGAGGATGTTCCAGAAACAGAAATACATCAGCAAACCCGACAGGAAGAAGCTAGCGACAAAACTCGGTCTTAAAGATTCTCAGGTAAGATACTCCAACATTAACGGGGACGCCTTTTTGTAGGAGTACACATGTAAAGACTCTAGATTTATTTTGAAAAAAAATATATTCTGTTCCTGAAATTGCTGAAAATAATAGTATGTCCCGATATTTTAAACGCAAAAACCTACACTGCATATATTTATATATGGTGGATATTCTGAAAATAATGTTTAGTGCCCCGCCACACCCCCAAACCCTCCCTAAATTGTTTGGCTCCTTATTTGGGCTGCTTCGGAACATTGTCTCATGATAGACGGGACGTTTTGGTTTTTTATATGATAAAGTATATCTGTATCACGGATCTCATGCGTCTGTTCACCTGAATTTTCAGCACACTTGAACCTCTAAGAACAATGAAGTAAATTGTCTGTTTTGATAAAAGACATGTACTTATAACGAGATACAGTCTGCTTTGAAGCTCAAAATTACCACACATAGCCCTGATTACGTGGCTATTCACAAGCATTATATTTGATATAGATCTTTTCAAATCAAATTGGTTTCTTACTGTTAAGTACATACGGCTGGTAATCGCGACTGCAGTTCGCTTGCAAAAATTGCAAATTTGCAACCGAACGCAAATGATGCGGTTATTGGCCGAAACAATTAGCTTACCAAGCGAATGAAGCGATAAAGGGCGTATCAAATGTTGCGGAGCCTTTCACCTCGACAGGAAAAGCTCATCTCTGATGTTTGTGTATTAGCTTAATTACCAATCAACAACGAGAGTTTGATTGACAGCTTAATAATCAGTAATGCGGTCAGTTATGACCATGAATTCAAATAATGAATTTTTGAAATATATCTCTTGGCTGTGAACCTCCCCTATAATTCATTAAACGAGTGTTTAATACACGTTTGTGTTGCTTTTATTGTGACAAAACCTCATTATTGTATCCTTGTTGCTTCTACGCGTTTGACTGTTACAATACTTTTTGAAAATGAAGGATTCGTTTTCGTATAACTGTATATAAGTCGACACGGAAATTAATTAATAACCACATTGGTTCGATGGTCCAACGACCATAGCTAAGGGAGCAGGAAATACGATCGTTTTTATTTCATTAGAATCAAATAAAAAATATTTGGCGTGGTCATATCGGAAAGGTTCGAGCAAGCATCCACAATGAATTTGATTAAAGTATTGTGTTTTGATTTTATTGCTTCTCGTGATCTCCAATAAGAAAGAATACCGCCATGTGATACACACAGAAATGGTGGTGTAGAGTTACCCCCCTTTACAAATTCTTTCTCCACTATAAAAATCTGTTTGGTTTATGAATAAATTGAATTAGTGTGCGCGGATTCAATATTGTCCAGCGTTCAGGTAAATTCAATTAGATGAAGCCAGGGTGTGATAAACGATACACCATCACATGTAATAAAATCTCATTTATTGCTAATATTTCATTTTCTATTGCAATTTAACAATATACAGACAGCATATTGCTTGCTATATTTGAAATCCCCACTCAAGTGACGGAAACATCTGTGCTATAGCAGCAACATGAATAGCTACAATATTTAGCAATAGTTGTTTTAATTTGAAACATTATTTCATTCGACTAAATAATAGCAACATTACACCAGATATCAACCGTCATAAAATGCCGTTGGTTGCTTTTATTCACGTTTTGGAACGTTGAATGTCAAATAAGTGTCTTGATTAATAACTTTTTTTTAAAAACATACTTTCATAATGAATACGTCCCCATGTGTTCATATTTTTGGTTCTGTTTCAGGTTAAAATTTGGTTTCAAAATCGACGCATGAAATGGCGCAATTCCAAAGAAAGGGAACTACTTTCTTCTGGAGGAACTCGCGAGTCCACTTTGCCGAATAAGAACAATCCAAACCCCGATCTTAGTGACGTGAAAGAGGAAGAGTCCACTGAAGAGAGGGGGGACGAGGAGAGACATTCACCTTCTCCCGTTGAAAGTCACATTTCGAGCAATCCTACATCCCCTAATGAAATGGACACTGCCAAAGATGTGAACATTTCGGACGTTGATTCAGACGAAGAAATTAACGTATCGTGATACTCTCATGTTAAAATAGATGACATATATCACAGCGCCATATCTGTGTTAAAACAGCGAGGGCTAACTATCCTTGCAGCCTCATCAACGATTCAATCGCCCGAAAAACATTCATGACCACTCGTGTCATTCCGGGTCTTCCTGCTGGTTACGGAAATTGGCGAGTGGCGCTGAATTGGCCGAATAGTGCTAGTGGACATTGTGAACTGTGAATCATTTCAGTTGAGACAATCTACTAGGGTGTATATAGTAAATACATACCTTATTTATTACAGTATTCATACTTAGAATCTCACTGTTAGTGAGAGATACATTATTTGAGCAACATGGTCTAAATATCATTTCATTCTAATCAAACATTGACACCATTAGTACATTATCATAGTATTCCAATGATACCAAGGGTACCACCATCAAACCTTGGATGACATCATTCTGATGGTACCATTAACGACATTTACCATTACTTTTGACATGCTTAGTATTTTGTTACCCATACAGTATAGCCCGTTGTATACCCAAGATGGCTGAAAGCGTACCGGCACTACAACGAGATCCCCCAAATTATAATTTAACCAAGTTGTGCTTCCATAATAAGTACGCACATATCTTTTTTGACGTTGAGATGTTTTAGTTGGTCTGTCATACAGACATATATACAAATACAAATATATCCAATACAGCCCATGCAAGTCTATAATTGTAGGCAAGTCTAGGTTACTGCAATTTCGCTGAATAAGAAGAAAGTTTCTGGGCTCCTTTTTATTATATTTTATTAAGATAATTTACTGTTTTGTTTCTTTAAAATATGTTCATTTCAGAGACTAAATGTTAGTCTAGGTTATAGTCTTAACAGATTGATAATTATAAATGCAATATTACATACACCATATTATAACATAATATGCCATTATAACATTCTTAACGCTAATTATTAATTGGTGGGAAGAAGACGTGCATTTTAGACATGTGGCAGATCTCAATAGTGATAACGTCAGTGAATTGTGTTGAATTCAATTGAATTTACACAGTTCTACTTATACCATTAACGGCTTTAGTTGGTCAAATGAAAATACAGACTATGATATTTGTTAGTTAATATATTAAATATATGTATAACTTGTAAGGGTACCATTGCTTAACTTATTGTAAGGGAAGTTATTGTGATACTTGATGACTTTACTAAGTTTAGCCGTTTAGATTGTACGTTTATTGCTCTGTTATCAGAATAGTTGCATGTGACAGACAGTCATCGAATTCATTTTTTAATGTCTCTTTCTTTTACAGCAGGTATAGTAGGGAACGGTTTCTAAGAATATACTTAATTACACAAGTCAATTGTCGCTTGTGTTAACATATCAACTCGTCGCTGTATGACGGTGACCTCTATTATACCAACCATTGAAAAGTACGAAAGCTTAATGGTGCCACTTTGGTAGCGTATGTATATATTTTTAAATCGAAATTTCGAGTTTTTGAGATAAACTTAAAAAACGAGAAAATATTCGAAGTGACGAGAAAAACTCGTTGTTTCTAAAAAATAATTGAAATAACGAGAAAATAGTAACGATAAATATCGATTTAAATAAAACCATATGCTACCAAAATGGCACCATTAGGCTTTCGTAGAAAAGTCCTATCTGCTATAGTTACAATTAATTGAGCATCACGAATGTATATAACATTGCCCAAAATCAAACGAATCATGAAATTAACGTTCTGTGTGTTCTAAGCCCTGATGCACTCCCAGATTTACCTCATGGAAATACAACAACATTCTTTGTATTTCTTAATGTAAATCTGGATCGTTGCACAGATTAAATATGCTAGTGATTGCACCAAGGCGCCATCTGCTTTAGAGTACGATACGTCAGCACTTGTAGGTATGTTTGACGTTTCAGTAATCACCATCACCCGCTACTGTTACTTGAATAAGGTAATCATAAATCATAATCGATTTTTCGGCACTCCATCCGTACCTGACACATACATTAAAATGATGAAATGTATTGCCAATACAGATCAGCATAAAACAAAATTCCTTCAATAAACGCAGGTTATTGTGGGCTCATTAAAGACACATGTTAGAAGTCTAGTGATTTATCACATTGCGTGAACATTTATCCGGGTTCATAAATGATTATTGTGTGCTTGGTTTGTAACATCTGGACAGAGTAAACTTTGATATGGATTTCAAATGACACGCCTATATGAAATATAAGGCACAAAGCCCACGAGTCCTAGCAGAGATGAAAGGTCAATGGTTTCTCTGTCATAATATACAATGCGTGCTCAGACAATACTTTTTTTTTATCTGAATAGTGAATATAGATTATAATTAATGTTGTATAAATTTCAGAGTCAATACATTCAACGCACAAGGCCGAACACAATTAGTGTTATCATACCTGATCAATTATTTTTTGATATTCAAATTGTGTTTCAGTAGTCTATTATTCCCTTTGTTATTGATGCAAAAAGTATCTTGGTACAGAAAAAACTTAGATGAAATAGTTGTAATGGGAAAATAACGCAACAAAGCATTAATCAAAGGGACGTGTATAAGACAAACTTCAAACAGTTTAAAGTTTTACAATGTTTGTTGTTATACCGTGTTTTTTTTGCAAAGTGACTCAAATCACATATCAATCACTGCACAAAAATTAATTAAGTATTCATTATTCTATGTCATATGTGTAACAAAATACGGAGATCAGTGTGATACATATCAATAGTTGGATGTGTCAGTTAAGGGATAGCTATCTAGATGAAAAATACTGTGTAATAATCTTATGTAGAAAATCAGTCCGAAGATAGAGTTAATGAATTGAATGTTTCACCAAATAGCTGTATTGTATTTCTCCAAAAAACTATTTGGAGGATATAGTTCTTTAGATACTGGAATAACCCATGAACATCTGTTAATGATACCTGTCCTTGGTGTAATAGTGGGGGTATGCATTGTCATGGAAACCTTAATATGTGTTCCAAAGGGATTGGGGTGGAATCATGGTATACGACACTGCTCACCTAGCATATTAAATAATATCTCAGTGAAGGATGATGCAAATGTGTAGACTATTATAGTATCGGCGTTATGGGTCAGTCATTTACCGTTTTAGATGTGGATGGAATAACGTCCAGGGAAGTAAGAAACATCGAAAATTATGACCGAGGTTTTCTGTGTGTGATTCTCTGCTCGTCTCCACTGTCACTATCAAATATCATTGACTTATCACCTCTGTGTTCTGTTCACGTGGTTGGTCAGCACCAACTATGCCATATCAGTTGTCTATGGATTGTATATAAGAAATTATTTTTGTATCCATGATGTCCGTTTTGTTGTTGAAATTTGATTGCTCTTCCAATCTCCAAATGATTGAAGCGTTGTGATGCAGTGCTATGTATAGGTTATTCATGTATATATGATGTCAAATTTGCTTACTGTCAGCATTCATATGAAATATGAATAAAATGTCTCTAATAACAAGATCATTTTTCGTTTGTTTCTACAACTGAATAGGTAACAGAGCGGATGTAGGTACCAGTTATTTATAGTTATATACACCACCAATGGGTGATTCGATCCCGGACGCGTCATATTGTTTGTTTTGTTTGTTTGTTGTTTAACGCCGCACTCAGCAATATTACAGCTATATGACGGCGGTCTGTAAATAATCGAGTCTGGACCAGACAATCAAATGATTGACATCATGAGCATCGATCCACGCAATTGGGATCAATGACACGCATCAATGAAAGTCTGACCACCCGATCCCGTTAGTCGCCTTTTACGACAAGCATAATCGCCTTTTAAGACAAGCATTGGTTGCTGAAGATCTATTCTACCCCGATCTTCACGGGGTAGATGGTACGTGTAATTATCTTGACGTTAAACCCCATTCCATCTCACCATCATAGGTTATACAGCATCGAATCTTAATACTGTTTGTTTATTTGTTGTTTAACGCCGCACCCCGCAATGTTCAGCGGTATGACGACGACCTGAAAATAATCGAGTCTGGACAACACAATCCAGTGATTGATATTATGAGCAATCCTCACCGTCGGGGTATAATGGCAGGCTGTCAACCATATCATCAGTCTGATCACCCGATCAATTCATTCGCATCTTAAGACAGCATAGGGGTATCTTTGGATATCGTTATAACAGTTTTTTACGTTCGTTCCCTACTTAGACTTGTACCATATGTCCCCATGTTTTTCAAAAGAACAACTGACTAACCTTGTTAGCGTTTGTGACGGGTGGGACAGTATACGTTCTTTTTTTCGCGAGCATCTGGTATAACCACTGTAGTAATTCATAAACACATGATTGTGATAAGGTCGGGGCTGTACAAGTGACTCTGCTTTTAGTGAAGATATTGAAGATTATGGAAATGTTTTTGTCGTTTTTATTGATTGTACTGCCCGTATGTCTCTCTCCCATTGGGCAACAGCGATGGACATAGAATACTAGGATGTGGAATAGAAAAATATGTCAATGTTTTGTAATTAAATAATTTGTAACCAACACGTGCCCAAAAATGAATTTTACACCCAAACAATAATCTAATAAAGACTTATTTCTGCTAAATGATATAATTGATAAAAGCAGTTCCCCAAACTACTGAACGTCTATGCTCTTTTAGATTTTTTCGTAAATCATTTAAAAAAATGCCCTTCTAGTGCATCACATGATAATGAGGTGTATCCTCTCGAAACATGATTGGCATTAATGATCCTTTCGCAAGATTTGTTTATTGTAATCATTTAACATGCCAGGTTGCCGACAATGACAATGTAGCTTTCTTTACGACGTGCCAGCAGGCACCATGTAACAATGCGCAATCTTATTGTGTGGCTTTCTATGTACCCTTGGTTAGTCAATTTGATTTCTGGTATAAATATTGACAAACAAACCACCTGTTTCCCTTAAGCTTCGTTTAATGACCATTGGCGTCGTGATTTGGACCAAACACCTTTTGCGACCAACTTTACCTGACCTCGTTTCTTTCTTTGAACTTCTTTCTGTTGTTGAATTATGAGAAACACGTGCTTGCCTAGTGTCTCAAGTAACAGGTTTGTGTGACAGACACAAAAACTGGCTCTTATTGCTTTATCTTCGAACATAAATTGAAGAGATTGATATTAACCGTTCAATGATGAACAAAAAAAGATGTCATTTCGTAAGTAAGTTTTATGAACTCGAAACATGTTGGCATAAAATACTGGTAGTTTCCACACGTTCTTTTCATATTTGATATTAGTTTATCAGTAGGTCATCGATTTCTTATCAGTTCATAGGTCATGCTCATTTCAATGTGAAATCTCGATCGTGCTGCAGTCCCCTCGCTTGATATTGATTATGGCAGTCTCGCGAAACTCTCTACACCGACGTTCTGTGTTAACCATCCTCTCTCACTCTCTTACTTTCACGCTCTCCCTCTCTTACTTTCACCCACTCTCTTACTTTCACTCTCTCCCCTCTCTTACTTTCACCCACTCTCTTACTTTCACTCTCTCCCCTCTCTTACTTTCACCCCCTCTCTTACTTTCACTCTCTCCCCTCTCTTACTTTCACCCACTCTCTTACTTTCACTCTCTCCCTCTCTTACTTTCACCCACTCTCTTACTTTCACTCTCTCCCTCTCTTACTTTCACCCACTCTCTTACTTTCACTCTCTCCCTCTCTTACTTTCACTCTCTCCCCTCTCTTACTTTCACCCACTCTCTTACTTTCACTCTCTCCCCTCTCTTACTTTCACCCACTCTCTTACTTTCACTCTATCCCTCTCTTACTTTCACCCACTCTCTTACTTTCACTCTATCCCTCTCTTACTTTCACCCACTCTCTTACTTTCACTCTCTCCTTCTCTTACTTTCACCCACTCTCTCAGTTACAAAAACAAAGGCTAACAGTTGTATATTAAATTATATCTGCAAATGAAAATGCGGAATAACGCGTTTATTACCCTAATAGAAAAATGCTAATTATGTCAATGTAAACAAGATTAAATTGTTTTATAAAAACATAGACACTTGCATACGTGTTAATTGCCTTGCCCGCTACGAAACGTTATCGCTTGATGGATGCACAGGGCGTCAGTATCCCTAAGGCTATTTGTCATAGATTAGCACCCTTTGTGACTGCTTATCATTCTCGCGTAGTTTCCAGTTAATATGCCCGGTTAAGGCACTCCGGTTGAGGATATTTGGACACCGACTTACAACATGTTTAGGTTATAGCTTTTAACGATAATAGGAGCGATCAAAAGCGCTTTTCACTGTAAATTGGCCCTCTATCCGGACGTAACACCAATATTGGCCGTCATGTGTTGTAGAATTGTTTGACAAGTAAACCAACCGTTTTGTACGGATTTAATCCGGTCTTTAGTCGGCTCGGGGAAACGGATGCTTTGGTTTGAGAACAAGACACACATACCTGTATACAAGAGATTCTCTACAAGTGCAGCATGAATTCTGGCAGATTTAGGTACTGGTCATTTATTACATGGGGGAGGGGGAGGAGGGTTGATTGGTCTCAGGACTGTATATTTTGCTACCCCCCCACCCCGCTCCCCCCACCCCCCTCCCCCCGATTGTATGTAACATTTTTTTCATGGTCTCCCACATGTACATTTTTTCATGACACCCCCTCCTTGAAATAAATGACCGGTCCCCAAATTATGTTTGAATTTAAAACTTTTTTTAATAAAATAGAACTGTGTCATTTTTCATGAATACATATATAAGATATATTATGGCACGTGTTGGAAAGGGATTAGATGGTGTTAACTGGTGAACGAAATCACAAATGATAAACTTTTAGAAATGACTAAAATACCAATCTCATGCATGTATTATGTAAATATAACACGGCAATAACCAGTCTCGCTTATCTTACGAAACAGATCCCACTGGGCTTAAAGGCAAATTTGTGGGGGAATTCGAATGAATGGATCACTGAAAATAATATGAATGGATCACTGAAAATAATATGAATGGATCACTGAAAATAATATGAATGGATCCCTGAAAATAATATGAATGGATCACTGAAAATAATATGAATGGATCCCTGAAAATAATATGAATGGATCACTGAAAATAATATGAATGGATCCCTGAAAAAAATATGAATGGATCACTGAAAATAATATGAATGGATCCCTGAAAATAATAGGAATGGATCACTGAACATCAGTAATGGCACCAGGTGTTCGCGGAAAGGGAAAGAAAACTTTTATTACATGTGCCATTCCCAACACAGACATCGGTCACATACTTAGGTGACCTAAATTCGTCCACGATCGATCGACAGAGTGCTTCATTTTCGGAAGGTGGAAATGCATCAGATGTGAACATAATGAGTCGATGAGATAACATCATATTTATTGCGTATATATACCAAGTGATATTTTCACCCGCTCCTATATTGCGTGCGCTAGCTCTGATTGGTGTTACCGTGTAAAACTGCCAGGACCTGCCACCTCCACCAGGATCTACCACCTCCCCAGACAAATATGAAACCAAATGGTCCACAATATTAGCATTTATTGTTACAACAGATGTTAGAATCGCCCTTGCACGTAATTTTCCCTCGAGGCTATTTGTCCAAAAGCAAGAACAAGAGGTTGATTAATGACCACAGGCAAAACATTGTCCGATTGCACACAGATGGGACTTCTGAGTAATGGTCAAAGGATCTTTCACCTTTTTATCAAGACTCTCTCACTTTTTCTCGCTTCATTTTGCCGTGGACCGTTCATCCATTGTGTGTCTTATTGTAAGCCTTCCGTTGATGAATGTCCACCCCAAACAGCGTGATTCAGGGGTACGGATCTTAGAACACTGAAACCGATCGCTTCTCCCTCGACGCGCCATTCGTCTGGGCATTTAGGGGAGAATGTGGCGTTATATTGTGTTAACAATGAGTACAGAGATCGCCTTTCATATCATATACAATTTGGCCATGCAGCCCTAAACGCGGTAATCTGTTCTGAAATTGGAATAAAAGGCTCTTTTCTTTCAAACATGATCCAATCGGTGAAACGCGTGTACGGGCATAAAAGCCCCTTGCCGTGGCCTTCTTAGCACGATAAAAGTCATACCTATGATATGTCTTCATTAAAGCTCATCGGTTATTATATGTTTGGGGACCCCTCGCCCTAAATATTTAGGCAAGGGATTTATCAATTAACTAGGCATGCAGAACCTTGGAAATGGCAAGGTGAGCCTGTTTCGTGAATGTAAACAAATCTGTTAGGTAAACGGCTATTTGTGGTTAGGGGACCAACGAGAGATAAATTGTCTCCTGGGGAGGCTCTCATGTTCCTTTAATAGACCGACACCCTCAGAGACTTGACCAGCACCCCTGACTGAAGATTTAGCGCCGTCAATACACCCCTTTAAGGCATCTCGTATCTGACATCGGGGCCAGTAAATTTCTATTTTAGATGGCGTTGATATTGTTCACGGACAGTTAAA